GACATAATGTTCAGGCACGTTTTTGATTTAATAAAGAATAAGCTTTGCTTTTATACCTTATTTCGATTTGATTCAATTCATCTAAATAAGAAGTTGGTCTCAAGAAGCTATCTCCGGAAACTCTTGATCGATCCAAGAACAGGTCTCAAGAACCCTAAATTCTTAGATCGACCGTTCACCCATTCGTACGCTGCGCCAGAGACCGTAGAGTATACGCTACTCCCAAGCCCGGAAAGATGGTTCAATGTCTAAGGATAGTGGGAACAGAGAATCCTCTCGTTCTGCTCGATGAGATTGATAAGGTAATTAAGTTGGAAGGGATTGTTAGTGTCTTTAAATTGGATTGTCTTTAGAGATTATTTGCAACGATTGTCATTTGGTTCACTGGCAGCTTGGAAAGAGTAGTAGAGATCCAGAGGGTGCGTTGTTGGAGCTTCTGGATCCAGAGCAAAATGCACATTTTCTAGATTACTTTCTTGATGTTCCTATCGACTTATCAAAGGTGCTCTCTTTTTCTAATCGGCGGGTCTAATTGTATCAATAAGGAAGGGATCTTTGAATCCCGATGAGTTTTGATTAAAGTCTTTCAAGCTTTTCCTATTCTTTGGGTTAAAGAGTATTCACCTTCTTTCTTTTTTTTTTACTTACATTCTAATCAAAAATTTTGGTTGTAGGTTTTGTTTGTATGCACAGCAAACGATATAGATAGGATTCCGGATCCTCTGCTGGATAGAATGGAGGTTATAAAACTCGCAGGGTACACTGCCGATGAGAAAATGCATATTGCTAGAGACTATTTGGTTAAAACCGTACGAAGAACATGTGGCATTAAGCTTGAACAGGTTGATGTGAGCTACGGGGCTCTTCTTTTCTTGATAGAAAACTACTGCAGAGAAGCTGGAGTTCGAAATCTCCAGAAGCAGATTGAAAAGATTTTTCGCAAGGTAAAGCTCACTAAAATATTTCCAAACTTCTTAACTTGGGTGCCAAGCAATCTGAAATTACACTACATTCCAAACTTTTTATAACTTGGATGCCAAGCAATCTGAAATTATACTGGTTTATTAACAGATTGCTCTTAAAATTGTCCGCCAACAAGCATCCGCCAAGGCGACTATGGCCGATTTTAAGTCCTCTGCTGAAGGATCCATTGAGATGCTACATGAATATTTACGATTACAGGAATTAGAATACGCACATGGTGGGGGTCCAATGAGCGAGAAGAGCAGAGCGGTAGCTGAAAAGTTTACTATTGATGCATCAAACCTTGCAGATTATCTAGGCAAACCGGTTTTCGAACGAGAGAAGTTGTATGAGCAGACGCCAGTCGGGGTGGTAATGGGTCTGGCTTGGACATCCATGGGCGGCTCAACGTTTTACATTGAGACTACCTTTGTAGAAGAAGGCAAAGGTGGTCTTCATGTAACGGGTCACCTTGGGAGAGTGATGAAAGAAAGCGCCGAGATAGCTCACACAGTTGCCAGAAGAATAATGTTTGAGAAAGAACCTGACAACCTCTTCTTTGCGAATTCTAAGCTTCATTTACATGTTCCTGAAGGAGCCACACCAAAAGATGGTCCAAGCGCAGGCTGCACAATGATCACATCCTTGCTTTCACTTGCCTTGAAGAAGCCTGTAAGAAAGGATCTTGCAATGACTGGTGAAGTCACTCTGACCGGTAGGATTCTTCCAATTGGCGGCGTAAGTATACAACACACTACTACAATTACTATGTTTTGGCTTTTTTTTTGGCTACCAGTTAATACACCAAGCATCTATAATTCTCAGCTTAAGGAGAAGACTATGGCTGCAAGGCGGAGCCAAGTGAAGGTGATAATATTCCCGGAGGCTAACCGGAGAGATTTTGAGGATCTTGAGGAAAGCATTAAAGAAGGGCTCGATGTTCATTTCGTCGAGGAATATGAGCAGATCTTCGAGCTAGCCTTTAGCTATGACCATTAGAAGAATGTCATTTTCACTTGGGATCTTCCTCTGTTGTTGTTTTTACTATATACTATTGATATGTAATTCTATAGGCTGACCTTCTAACGTTTCTTGAAACTTTTACCAAAAAAAAAACACAAAGTAAACGAGGATACAATTTGTTTCAGAAAAAAAAACGAGGATACAAAGAAAACGTTTCTTGGAATTCTTTTTACCATTATTATGTATTTATTTCATACAAGAGAGTGAAGCGGTGAACTATATAAAAGAACCAAAGCTTTTTCCATACTATCATATTTTTCTTCTCCATATTAGCTTGTGTAATTATATAATAGATAATATCCGCGCGTATGCACGGAGTGAGTTTTTTATAGTAATGTTTGTTCGATTTTAACATTTTTGTAACATTATATTCTTTATCGATTGTAAAATAACAAATATAAATATTGGTCTCTTAAATATATTATATGTCTGGGCATTCGGAAGATCCGTTGGTTTTGGTTCGATTGATTCAGTTTTCAAATTTTATGTATTAGATTTTCAGACCCATTCAGGTTTTACTAATTATCGGATTGGTTTCGGTTTGGTTCCTTCCGGATTCAATTTGGATTGGATTATACCCAAAATATGAAATCGTCCCAAAAGATATTTTTGAAACCTCAAAATTGACAAAAAAAAAATTGGTAAAATAGTTAAACTATCTAAATTAACCAAATGATATTCAAAATAAAAAATAAAACAAACTACAAAAATATTTTGAATACAATACAATATCTAAATTATCTTGATATATAAACAATAGTATACTAATTTCAGATATCTTTGGACCTAGTTGGGATTTCGGTTCAGATTATAACTAAATCCCAAAGTACTAAGATCATAAGTCTTGTTCGGATAAATTATAACAGCTACATTACTTATTATAGAGAAATAAATAGTAAACGGATGATCAAATATCACATTCTTCGAACAAATTCAAAATGGCGTGATTAGACTTGTTATAATATTTCATTAAAAAGTTTTTAGGAATAAATATCAAGACTAAATTATTTAATTTGAATGAAAGGATATATATAGTCCTTCCAGTATTAAAAATCACTTCGATTTGAAGAAGTGTAATTCGCAGATTGTCAGGATCAAATAAACATATTAGAAACTACTATTTAAAAATTAATTTGTATACATAAAGTATATACATTAAAGTAAGCACATAAATCAAAACTAATACCTTTTGTTAATTTACAATCATGTTTTTGGTAAATAACTAAAAATAATTATTTAGTTTACTTTATACTGTATATAATAAACGTTATTGATATATATATATATTTAATTTCTATTTAGTATTGATATTTTCAACTCATATGATTTTATTAACATTTGTATCTTTTGCTCTAACAAAAATTTAAATAAATCACAAAAAAAATTAATGTGAGGTCGTTCCAATAAGAATTTCAAAATTAAAATACTAAAATCTCAATAATTTTCACTATAATTTTTGAAATTAACATAGTTATATATTTTATATAGTATATAATTTAATTTTAAATGATATTGATATATATATATATATATAATACTAGGTGTTTTGCCCGCATTTGCGGCCATAATTCTCTTATGAATAGTATTTATTATTTGATGTTTCATTAATTTATTACTTATGTTTTCAAAAAGTACAAATCAAACATAAATAATTATAAATGACAAAACTCAAACATCAGAAATATTTAAAACAATATATTTATATAATTAGTTTGCGTAATTTATATTTGATTATAATATTTTACAAATATTTTTACTTAATTTATATTTAATTATAATTTTTTATATCTTAATTTTAAATTTTATAATAGAAAAATATATTTTCAAAATAAAAATATAATGCATAAATTATTTATTTTTAAAAATATAATATGATAATTTCGTTTTAATTATATAATAATTATATAAGATTATAGAAATGATGACATATAATGAAAATTACTTAGAATCGTGGAGAGCTTAAGAAATTAGCAAATTTACTTCTTAAATAAATTTTCTTGAGTGGTAATTTATATTTAATTAATAATAGATAATTTTCTATTTTTTTTTAAAATTATATAATATAAAAATATATTTTCAAGATGACAACATAGTACATAAGAATTACCTTATTTGTAAAAGTAGAATATTATTAGTATAAATTTATTTTAATTATAGAATAACTACAATTTTTTATATGTTAATTTAAAATTTCTAATAGAAAAATATAATTTCAAGACACAACCTAATACATAAAAAGTATCTTATTTTCTAAAAATCTGATACTATTAATATAATTTTTTGTTAAATATATAATAAATTGTATTTAAAACTATAGAAATTAGGATAAATTATCCAAGTTACCTAAAATCATGGAAAATATGATAAATCAACAAACATCTAATTTATTTCTTAAATAATAGTATAGAAAATTTACATTTTAATTTTAAATTTATAATAAAAATATATTTTCAAGATAACAACATAATACATATGAATTAATTTATTCTCTAAAATATCATATTATTAATATAATTTAATTTTAATCATATAATAAATAATAATAAAAATTAAAAAAATTATGATAAATGATCAAAATTACCTAGAATCATGGAGAAATTATGTACTTTTCAAATAATTGTTTTGATGAATTATATTTAATTATTTAATATAATTTTTATATCTTACTTTTAAGTTTTATAATAGGAAAATATATTTTCAACATAACAACATAATACATAAGAATTATTTTATTTTAGAAAATATAAAATTATTAATATAAATTCATTTACTTAAATAATAAATATAATATTTTTATATATTAATTTAAATTTAAGTTTTATGTATAAAAGTATAGTTCAAGATAACAACATAATTCACAAGAATTATCATATTTTCTAAAAATATGATATATTCATATAAATTCGTTTTATTTATAAATAAACTATATATAAATATTAAAAATATAATAAATAAATAAATTACCTAAATTCTTGGATAACAACTAAGCAAAAAAAATTAATTCTTATCAAAATATAGTTCAAGATAACAACATAATTCATAAGAATGAACTTATTTTCTAAAAATATGATATCTTCATATAAATTCGTTTTTATTAAATAATAAATTGTATATTAAATCATTTAAATAAAGTAAACAAATAAATTTACCTAAAATCAAGGAGAAGTTGACAACTAAGCAAGTTTACTTCTTATATAATAGTATAGATATAATATGAATATTTATTAATGAGACTTCATATTTATACGATTTATATTTATTTGTATCTTACATGAACAAAAAAAAGTTAAACCATTGATCATAAATTTTCAATGTGGGAGTTTTACCATTTTCAGTAATTTATAATCGTTTCAAAAATTTCTAAATAGAAGAAAAAAAACTAATTTTTTCTTATATGCTTAATGTGATTGTTCAATTATTTTTAATAATATAAAATTAAAAAAAAAAAGAGAGAAATGATACAAAAATTGTTATCATATATGTATTATTCATGATCATTAATTGTCAATATATGTTAATCATATTAGGTAATTCCGTAGTTTTATTTAAGGAAATAAAGAATATTATTTTGTACACTAATAACTAATTTGATAGTTAATTTAAAAAATATATATATATATAATATATAATTATATGGACCAGCATATTTTCTAAGAATTCTAAGAGTGATCATGGTAATGACACGTGGCTACAATTAAATGTTGTAATGCTCTAAGGTTAATATAAGGGATGTGGTTATATTTCTTTGAGTATAGTAATCAAAACTCTAATCATGAATTTTTTTTGTTTTTTGTTGATAAATTAGACTCCTTTCAATATAACCTTTTTTTGGAAAAGGATACATCTCTTCTCAAAGTTAAAAGAAGTAAAAAAAATTTAAGAAAATGAAAAGCTTTAGTTATAAGAAAATCAATTGAGAAAAATTCTAACAAAATCTAAAATAAGTGTAAAATATCACAATATTTTTGTTAATTAATAATATTATACATTAATATTAACTAAAATTTTACTATAAAAAGGTTTTTTCTAAATTTCATATTATATTCTACATTATATTAAAACAGAAGTATTGTATAAATTAAATAAAAATAGATAAATGTGGTAAATTAACATTTTCATTTTAAAATTTATTTCACTTAAATCAATAAACTATTATTCACCGTTAAAATGATTAACATTCATAAATAATGAATATTTTCATACAAAAACATTAGCATATGTTTCATTTTTATATCCACAACTATATCTTATGTTATTATTTAATTTAAAACTCAACAACATAATATCTAAAATGATTATTTACAAAATATAATAGTATGCAACTAACTTTTATTTCATGGGTTATTTAAAAGATAGGATATCATAAATTTTTAATAATTCAAAAGATTTTATTAAAATGATTTTAAATACAACTTTAATATTTGAATTATAAAATAATAACTTCAGAAAATAGAAAAATATTAGAAAATTGTATAAATAATGCGTTAATTAATAAAAATCAAAGTCATATAATCTTTCAAAATCAAAAATATTTAGTACTTTTCAAAATATTTCTTGACCAAGTATACAATTTTGAAAATAAATATTCTAAACTCAAAGTGAAAATATTCCAAATTTCTAAATGATAAAATTGTAGAACACGTAAAATAAATATTTTGAAATCTTAATTTATTATCAAAAATCAAAGAACTTAATACTATAACATCCTACATATTTTTATATTGATAAAATATACTAAAATAACATCATAGATGCTACTATATAGAAAATTTACCAAAATAATATGGCTAAATTAGTTAAACAAAATCATACATTTATTTGTAAAATTATAAATATACTAAAATGATATATGTCAAAGTTATATTTTAAACTCTAAATAGAAATATAAATAAGCCTAAGTAAATATTCTTTTATAGTATAGCAAGATAAAAATTTAAAAATGTATTAAACACTTATAAAATTATGATAAAAATATATTCTATTGGAAATTTTGTATTTGATTATTTCAAATTATAAATTTATCGTACTTACTAGAAAATATATTAGAATGCAGAAAAAGCAAAAAAAAACATTATATATTAGTAATGTTGAATAAAAAAATAAAAGTTAAAAAAAAATATTATATATTAATAATGTTGAATAAAAACCTAAACAGTAAAATTATAAACTTACATAATATATAACATATAAAAGTATAAATCATATAGATAAAATATTTACATTAGTATTAAATATATACATTTAAAATATATATATATATATTTAAAACATATATATATGCACGTACGTATGAGTCAAAACTCTAAATTTGTTTTAAACCCATAAAATTTGGTTTTAAATGATTTCTATTCATTTTACTATTGGTTTGTAAGATTTTGGATTTAATCCTTTGAAAATTTTCTAAACGGTTCAGGATAATGTGAATAACATGTCTTATTTGTTAATTAAGAGACATGCATGGCATTTTCGACACAAGTTTTGTAGAAAACTAAAAAAAAAAATCAATAGTTAACATCTTGTTTGGATATTGGAACTACAACATAGGCTAAAAGTTCAGAATGATTAATAATATGCAGTCAATGTATCTCAACCCTCATCTATGGTCATCTTGAGCTTCATCAACAGAGAAGCTTACTAGCTTGGTGAACATCATCGGGAACCAGCTACTCTGGAGATGTCAAAGAACTCTCAGCACTCAAGACAATAAGCAGAACTTCGCTTTCCCGAAAGTCAATGTCGATGGTTAAACAGCTACCAATATTAAAGAATTTTGAAAATTGTATTAGTGGAACGTGTCGGGTTTTAAGTGGGCTAAACTAGAGATATAATAGATGACTTTTTATACTTTTGTTCAAAATGAGCTTGTAACCATATATGATTTCCAAAATATCAGGCAGATTTTTAATATAGAAAAATTTCAATGGATAGTCTCTTTTAGTTTATCTTCAGAAAAAAATAAATTTCAAGGAGGTTTTATTAAATGGTCAAATATGCATCGATACTCCTAGACTTATCTTATTTAGACTTAGGGTTTAGAGTTATGGGGAGGAGTTTCAAACTTTAAAAAAAAAAAAAGAAAATTCAAAATTTCAAAACAAAATATTTTGGTCATTTTATTTTTTGAGGGTTATTTTTGTGACAAACACTTAAAAGAACTATTTGAGAGAATTTCTTTTTATATATATAATTATATATTAAAATGCAGTTAATATAAACTCGTAAAAAAAGATAGTCCTGATTAAGTCTGGGCGTTCAGGACCCGTCGGATTCGGTTCGGATGATTAGGATTTTTGAATTTTTGGTACTATGCTCATAAGTCTCATTCGAATTTTACTAATTATCGTGTCGGGTTCAGTTTGATTCCTTCTGAGTTTGGTTCGGATCAGATTATAACCAACATATAAAATCTTTCAAAAAACAAATTTTAAAACATAAAAAATTTACAAAAAGTTCTCAAAATAGATATAATTTATTTACAAAACTAAACTAAAAACAAGCTAAACTATATAAATTAATTAAAATTTATTCAAAATAGTAAATAAAATAAATTATAAAAACTTTAAAATACTATTAAACATTAAAATTGCCTTAACATATATAAAAATAGTAACATATTTCCCTAATTGCGGATATAATCCCTAAGTTTGGATTTCGGTTCGGTTTGGATTGTATCCATACCCCAAAGTACCAATCTCTCAAATCTCATTCGGATATTCTTGTGTAACGATTTGGATCTGATTTCAATTTTTTCGGTTCAGATTATGGTAGAGAGTTCGGTTTGGAGTAAAAACATCCACGTCTAGATCTAAGGGTGATTGGTTGAGCTGTAGTTGTAGACATTTTGTTGCTGAATTTAGACTGTTGATTTTGTGATGTAATTGTATCTAATGCAGATATAAAAATAAAATAAGAAAAAAGATCAAAAGGAAAGATATTCTACAACAAAACATTTTTGCTTTAGAAAATAAGGTTCCTACAGCTTTTATTTATTTATTTGTTTTATTTTAATTTTAAAAACAAGTTAAAACATAATTAGTGATGTAATTGGTTGTATATAGAAATCTATATTATTAAATCAGAACACTAAGTTGGACCTAACATTTATTTTGTAAGTTTTAAAGTTAGATATACATTAAATCACTAATATTCCTTTCTTTATACTACTATCCATGTTTTCAAACAATATAACTATCTCTTTATAATACTATTCATGTTTCCAAACAATATATTCATTTCTTTATACTATTATTCATGTTTCCAAACAACACTGTAATTATTCTTATGCCCAAACAATACAAAATATTAGATCTCATCCATTTTAATAATAAATTAAAAAATTCAAATAATATATAAAACAAGGAAAATAAACTTATTTTTACAGATTTAAATATTACATATCAGTTATCCATCAGTTCAGTCGGTTAGTCTCGGGTTTTAGTTATTTTTTAAATGGATATTTTTGAAAATCAAAATCGAATTATCAGATCACCGGTTTAATTGCGGTCGGGTTGAATTTTAAAATACTGATTTAAATGCAAAAATATTTCAAATACATAAATTCTTTCAAATTACCAAAATATTTGTTACGTTATTTATGAAATTTTTCATCATAAAACAATCCAAGCTTGTAAAGTTAAATCCGCTTTTGTTTCTTAATTATAAGGAGCGGATAAAAAGTTTTCGACCCGATACAATGGTGGATCCAAACGGGGCGGACCCGACCTTAACGGGCCTTGAAAACAAACGTGTTATATATAATCATGAAGCGAGGCAAAATCAGAACTACGTAACAAACACATTTGCTACAGAGCGAGCGAGAGATCCCGAGAAGAACACTAATTCAACAATGGCGGATCATCACAAGAACTTGAAGAGATCCCGAGAAGAACTTGAAGCTTCCAACAATGGCCGATCATCACAGAACAAGATCACTGGATCTCTTGATGAAGAGGTCTCTCTACTTTGCTCTCTTATTTCTACTCTGCTAAGTCTTTTCTCTCTTTTCCCCCATTTTCCTCTGTTTTTCTGAACTTTGCTTCATCCTCTGTTTTTGTTGTTTTCTTGTGATGTAGTAATAAGCATTTTTATTAAATCTTGATTACGGTTTTCAAGTTATTTGTTATGGTTTATCCCACAGATATCTTATATCTACGCCGCTAAGTTCTTTCTCTCTTCTCCGCCATTGAACTCTGTTTTTCTAACCTTTTGTTTCGTCCTCTGTTTTTCTTGTGATATAATATAACCATTTTCTTGATCTTTATTAGGGTTTCGCAAGTTATTTACAAGTTATCGTTATTAGTTATAAACTTATATCTACTCTTCTTAAATCCTTTATCTCCGCTATTGTACTCTGTTTCATCCTCTGTTTTTCTTGTGATATAGTAATAAGCATTTTCTTGATCTTGATTAGGGTTTTCAAGTTATTTCGTATACTTCACAGATATTGTTAGCAATTGTATTCTGTAACTATTATTACATATTCGTCTTTTATTGGAAATTTTATTATTTTATTTCAATGGGTTGTGTGTTTCAGGTAAAGAATCCATCTTTAAACTTGGCTCTAGCAACAACTCCAGAGTATATCAAACAGATTGAATCACCCCAACAACAACAAGAGCAACGTCAACGTCATGACTCCAACACAACTCCTTCTAGAAAAACAAAAGCTTTGCATTTTCCAATCTCAAAGATCACAATTGGTGAGTGGACCCGCGAAGCTGTGTACGGGCACGATCTAAAGGCTAAAATCTATTTCGGAAGGAAGAAGATCATGTGGGAGTGTCTCCAGGACGAGGTGACTAGGAAGATTGAGATGCAATGGTGTGATGTCTTGTCTCTTAGAACATTGTGTCATCGACATGATAACACCGGAATCATTTTAGTCGAGGTAAAAACTATACACATTGGTGAAAGACACTCTTGAGAGCCTTGTAATGATTTGATTGATTGATGTTTTCTCAACAGTTGAGAAAACCTCCAACGTTCTGGATAGAGACTAATGTACAGGCAGGAAAACCCACTCAGTGGCAGCAGCTGGATCAAGATTTCACGCTTAATCACTCTGCTTCTCGTAACAGGTTCTTTTGTTTTTTTTTCGACTTTTTAATGAAAGTGATTCCCAAGTCTCACATGACATGTTATAACAGGATACATGAACTTGATTTTGCTCCTGGAGTTATGCAAGAGAATATGACGAAGCTTTTGTCAAGCGATAGTTATTGGTCAGAACTGTTCAAAGTCCACTTCCCAACTTCGGAACATCTTTACTTCGACGACGAAAAACAAAACCCTATGAGTTTTCCAATCTCAAAGATCACAATTGGTGAATGGACCTGCGACGCAGTCAACGAGCAAGATCTCCAGGCCAAAATCTATTTCGAAAGGAGGCAGATCATGTGGGAGGGTCTCGAAGATGTAACAACAACAGAAACAACAAGAAAGATGCATTGGAAGATTGAGATGCAATGGTGTGATGTCTTGTCTCTTACACCATCGTACCATGCTCAAACCGGAATCCTTAAAGTCGAGGTACTACTTATACAAACCACATTGGTCAAAGACTCTTGACCCTTCTAATGATTGATGTTTTGTTTCCTAACAGTTGAGAGTACCTCCAACGTTCTTCATCAAGAGAGAGACTAGTCCACGTTCAGGAAGAACCACTCAGTGGCAGCAGCTGGATCAAGATTTCACGCTCAATCACTCTGCTTCTCGTAACAGGTTTTTTGTAGAACCCATTTGATTATAGTGATTCCAACTCTCACAATCTTGTGTGTTACAACAGGATACATACACTTTATTTTGCACCTGGAGTTCTGCAAGAGAATATGAAGAAGCTTGTGTCAGGCGATAGGTTTTGGTCAGAACTGGTCAAAGTCCATTTCCCAACTTTGGAGCATCGTTACTTCGACGACATTGGCTATGGAAACAGTAAGAACAACGTAACGGCAACACAGTTCCATGGTAACCACGAGAGCAGCAACAATGACTGACTAAATGTTTTCCTGATATTGACATGGGAGAGATGATTTCAACATCTCTGCTTCCATATATAGATTTGTCCTCCTTCTTTAGGTCTTTTTTACTTGTTGTATATACTCCTTCCTCTTGGGGTCTTGTAATGCAGAAAGTGCATCTTTAGAACTCGGTTACTTGTTGTATATAATACATGGTCGATCATTGATCTTAATGGTTGCATGGAAATTTCATAAAAACTCGGATAGTTTTTCGCTTTCCAAATATATTGCACTAAAAAAGTTTTGGTTCTTCTAATATAACTCATTGTGCAAAAAGTTGTAAGCATTGGAAGAATCATGGTTTTGCAGAGTGTGGGTTATTGTATGATCTTGGATACTGAGGAGTATGTTACTAGAACTTGAGATGAATAAATAAAGTTTTGATCTTTCAGACACACAAAGGAACTGCCTTTCTAATGCTTCTAGTGAATATGTAAAAATCAAACTCAATCAAAAGGAACAACAGACTCTTCTATCTCATGTCATTGAGACCTTCTCTTGTTCATAACTTTCTTCAGCAAACTCTCACGTCCTGGGAAAGGACTATGAATCTTTGGCTCAATTAGCTTCTCTACGTCTTCTAACCTTCCCAAAACACCCTTCTGATCACTCCTATTCACAGTTTTGCCATCACCATTCTCCTTCTCTCTCCCTAGACTCTGCCGCATCCTCTCACGCCTCTCTCTTCTCCTCCACCCACTACCATCTTCCTCTACCTTCTTCTTGACTTCTCTTCTTCTTACCATATCTCTACTAGCCTCTGTTAACCTAGGAATCCGACCACCTTTGCTTGTCCCGAGAAGCTCGTAGTTGACTTTGCTCCAACCAATCTTATCTTCATTGTCCCAACCAAATCTCTCACTAATCTCCAACAACATAGAAACAGAGCTTACCTCTTCTTCTTCTCTGTTCTTCTTTATACTCCCATCACTTCCGTGGAGGATTTTCTCTGCAAACTCCCACTCAATTCTGTCTTTATAAACATCGTCGTCAAGAACTTGGTCTGCAAGCTTTGCCCAGTACTCAGTGTCTCCTGCGCGTAGATTCTTGGAGACCCATTTGAGGTAAGAGGAAGGTAAGGAGCCGAGCATTTTGCCCTTGTGCTTGCCGAAGTCTATGATTGTGTCTCTGGCGGCTAGGGTTTCGGTTTGGAGCGTTTTGATTATTGGTTTTGGTTGATTGATAGGGAAGATACGGTTAGTTGAAGAAGGTAGTCTTCTTTTTGGTCTGAAAGATGATGAGGATGATGAGATTGTGAAGATGGTAGTGATGGGTAAGGTTGGTGTTGCAGGGTAGGGTTTGTGGAACGAGACCAACGAGAAACTCATTGTTGTGTCTTCAATTCTTTGATTTGTTCTTTTTTTTTAATAATTGAATCTTGTAAATGTTATTTTATATGTTAGTCTGTTTACATATGTTGGTCTACTCCGGTACTACTATCTACGAAATATTCTTGGACTTAGTTGTGTAATAAGTTAATAACCACACAAAAAAAAAAAAAAAAGTTTTGTAGAAAGAGGAAAAATAGAAACAGAGCAGAAAAAGAAAGGAGGAGAAAGTTAGTGTTTTCGGTTATAAAGCAAATTTGGATTTCTTTGGTGGTTATAGAGTGCAATTTCTGTATTTTTATAGGATTGGAGACCCAAAAAGACTCAAAACATACATTTTATGAACTCAAATTTTAATACAGTATTAGTAATGTACAAATTTGTGGAAACGTGGTAACCTTAACACAGAAAGAAAACAAAGTCTTAAATAGAATTTGGAAGGAACAAATTTCTCATAAGTAATCCAATGCATATTTTAGTAAATATATCATTTTCACAATATAAATTTATTAAGATTTGATTAACATATCTTAGAATTTTACATAACTATCTATCTAATAAAAATATGCTCTATATTATTATTAACGGTCATGAATTCATGATATTATATAATCAAATCATCATCATAAGTTCATAACGGATAGGCATGGGAGTTTGGTAGCTCATAGCTTATTCGGTTTCAGTTCGGATAATTCGGATTTTCGGTGTTATGCTCATAAGTACCATTCAGTTTTTAGTTTTTTACTAATTATCGGATTGAGTTTGGTTCGGTTCGGTTTCTTCTAGATTCGGTTCGAAACGGATCTAACCAATGTTTAAAATTGTCAAAAAAAAAAGATTTTTTAAAACCTTGAAAATTGACCAAAAAAAAATCAAAATATACAAATTATTTTAAACTAACTAGAAAGTATTCAAAATAACAAATAAAACAAACTACAAAAATATTTTGAATACTCTAAAATATCGAAATCACCTTAACATATATAAAAACATTAACATATTTAACTAATTTTGAATATTTTTGGATCCTAATTCGGATTTCGGTTCAATTCGGGTTATAACCAAAATCTAAAGTAATAAGCTCATGAATCCCGTTCGGATATCTTTGTAAAACAGTTCAGATTCGATTTCGGTTTTTCTAGTTCAGGTTAAGGTTGGTATTTCGGATTGAGGTAAAAGCGCTCAGACCTAAAAAGGAGACGATTGACACAGAAAGAATGACGTGGTGATCTTGTCTACAATATACAAACGACACGATTGGTAACTTAGAGGAAGGCCTTATCTTTTCTCCAATCCTCTCCCTCGTTTAAGCTCCAAAAAAAAAAACTCAATGGCTTCCACACTTCTTGTTCCTCAACTTATCTCTTCTCCCACGAGTCTCAACGTCGCAGTTCCAAGAACCTTTACCTTCAACACTCGTCGAACAGTGAAATGCTCTTCAAACCCAGAACCAAAAGATCAGTTCCTCGACCTCACACCTTCACCAGACTCCATCAACACCACAAGCGCCGACAAGTTCCCCATCGAGAAACGTAGAAGATCCGAGATCATACGCGACAGGAAGCAAAGAGGGATCGAGAAGCCTGAGCCACCGAACTTCGAGATTGGTTGGAAGAGAACCAAAGAGATAAACTTGGAGAAACCCAAAGGGTACGTGATAATGGACTTCTTGGAGAAGTTCGAAGGTTTAATGGCGAGAGAGTTTGGTTCCAAGGAGCTTTTGGCTAAAGCTGGAGAGATAGTTGCGGAGAGAGCGAGAGAAGAAGCTGAGGTTTTGAGAGATGAAGGTGAAGTTGAAGAGAGGATGGTGACCGAGCTTTTCAGGGTTTTGAAGTTGATGGAGATGGATTTGGCTATGGTTAAAGCTTCTGTTAAAGAAGAGACTCTTAGTGAGAGGATTGAACAAGCTAGAGCGAGATGTAGACAAGCTATTCTTGTTGCTAATTCTTTTTAAAACCCAAACTGTAATAATCACAAAGATTTATGATTTTGTTCTCTAAGACCATTTGGTTTTAAAACTCTTCAACTGTCTATGAATTGTTTATAGTTTTCATCTGGAAAAGATCTTAACTAGTTTGGTTCTGTAATAAAAAAAAAAACTCATGCTTTTGTTTTCTAAGACCATTTGGTTTTCATATCTACTTGTGCTGTCTGAATTGTTTATAGTTAAGATCTTAACTAGTTTGGTTCTGTAATTACAAAGTTTCATACTTTTGTGTTGTAATATCATTTGATTTTCAAAATCTTCGTCTTCTGTCCGAATTGTTAATACTTAATAGTTAAGATCTTAAATTGTTTGGTTCATGTAATAATAGTTTTTTTTTTTTTTTTTTGAACACAATGTAATAATAGTTAGACCACTTGGTTTTCATACTCTTCTTGCTCTGTTTGAATTGTTTATAGTTAAGATCTTAATCTAGTTTGGTTCAGTAATAACAGAGATTCATGCTTTTGTTTTTAATTTATTGAGAAAAAAATACTTCTACTAATTTCGTTTTCCAAAAAGATATTTTCCTATCAGTTAAATGGTTTGTTGTACACCACACAATCAAAGTGTTAGATCATTACCATTCAAAGGCTTTAGCTTTACTAAGACAAATCAACAATGGCGTCTCTTAGATTCTTCTACACTGTAGAGATGTCGTTACCATGTCTGTTATGTCCATGCCCATCATCCCCTATGGCTCTTTCATCATCTTCTTCGAGATACCATCTTCTTAACAGTTCATCCAGAAGCTCTAGAACTTTGCGCATAACTTGTTCATCTTCCTCTACCTTCACTGGAGGACAAACACAACAGTCGTCTTTCAATGACGCTGAGATGAAACTCATTGATGCTTTGATCGGAATTCAAGGTCGTGGCAAATCTGCTTCTCCTAGACAGCTTAATGTATGTACATAAACTTGTTTGCATGTTTCTTGAGTTATGTCTGGTTTGAAACATTTCTTGCTGTTGTTTAGGATGTGGAATCTGCTGTGAAAGTTCTTGAAGGTTTAGAGGGCATTCCAAATCCTGTATTGTGAACCCTTTCATCTTCAAGTTACAACTCTTCTCTGTTTTTGTTTTGTGTCTATTGCTCATTATGGTTCTCTATCAAAATGTTTAGACAGAGTCTGACTTAATAGAAGGTCGTTGGCAGCTAATGTTCACCACAAGACCTGGAACTGCCTCTCCAATCCAGGTCAGTTCTTGTCACACAATTCATCATTAGTAACCCATCTTCTTGATGATTGTATGTAAGAATTAAGAATCTGTTTCTATGCAGAGAACATTTACAGGAGTAGATGTGTTCACTGTGTTTCAAGATGTATACTTAAAGACAACAAACGATCCTCGTGTTTCAAACATTGTTAAGTTCTCTGACTTCATTGGAGAGCTTAAAGTTGAGGTGAGCTTCTTCTTCACTCTTAACTCTTTGCATCATTAAGACTCAAGAGAATTTTATACTTTTCTGTTTCATTAACAGGCAGTTGCATCCATCAAAGATGCCAAAAGGGTTCTGTTTCGTTTCGATAGAGCAGCTTTCGCTTTGAAGTTCTTTCCTTTCAAAGTTCCATATCCAGTTCCTTTTAGACTTCTTGGTGATGAAGCAAAAGGTTGGCTAGATACTACGTACTTGTCGCCTTCAGGAAACCTTAGAATCTCAAGAGGAAACAAGGTAAAAAAATGAGTTTCTTGACTCTGGTAAACAAGATTAAAAGCTTTGTAGTGTTTTTATGTAATAAGGTGACATGATCTTTAGCGCAGGGGACAACATTTGTTCTTCAGAAAGAAACCGTGCCAAGGCAGAAACTGTTAGCCATCATATCTCAAGACAAAGGAGTAGCAGAGGTAACACAGGCTATAGATGAGTTTCTTGCTTCTAATACTAACTCAAAGGAAGATGATTATGAGCTTCTAGATGGAAACTGGCAAATGATTTGGAGTTCACAGGTGACTACCCATATAACACTTTCACCTGTTGCTCTTATAACACTTTCACCTGTTGATAGAACACAAGTTTAAGTGAATTCTTTCTGGTTTTGTGTTGAAGATGTATACAGATAGTTGGCTTGAAAATGCAGCAAATGGTCTTATGGGAAGACAGGTAAACACACACTTTACTACATTTCTTACATAGTATAGTATTATATATGTTGTCTCAGCTTGTTTTGTATGAGGATTCTAATTTCAGATCATTGAAAAAGATGGACGAATAAAGTTTGAAGTAAACATAATACCAGCATTTAGATTCTCCATGAAAGGAAAATTCTTGTAAGTTTTCTCTGTCTTTTTAGAGTCATGTTACTACATTTTGTGTGAGTTCTTGATTGGTTTCATGATGTGTAGGAAATCAGGAGGTAGCACCTATGAGTTGAAGATGGACGATGCAGCAATTATTGGTGGTCCGTTTGGATATCCTATCGAGTTGACAAACAATATCAAGCTTCAAGTTCTGTAAGATCTTTTCGTTCTCGTCTTTACAACATAGGTTATGATTCATTAAACTGCTAACAAATAACAATGTGTTGTTACTACAAAGATGTTTGCTGGCTTTATTTTTGCAGCTACACAGATGAGAAGATGAGAATAAGTAGAGGCTTCGATAACATTATCTTCGTGCACATCCGAGAAATGTAGTTATGTCTAGGAGATTAAAAAATTGTTACAATGCTCCTCGTATATGAATATATGCATACAAGGAAAAAAACCTGTAAACTGTTTGCATTAATTGTTAAATTTCTCTGATGAATATAGTTTTAACTAGGTATGGGCTCGGATATCGAGTAGAAGGTTAGAGGATTCATTTACTACCGGATATCAGATAAAAGGTTAAAAGATCCATTTATTATCTGATTTATTTTTGGTTTGGCTTCGGTTCAAATAATTTTTTATTCAGTTCAGATAGTAAACCTATGAAGCAGAAATACCCAGAAAACAAAAATTTTGCTCATGTTTGGTTCCGGATAAATTATCAGATAATGCAAGTAATTCAGATAAATTATCGAGTATTTTGGATAAACTATCGAATAGTTAAGATTATTCGGAGAAAATATCGGATAACTCGAATTATTTTGAATGTTTTGGATATAAATATCAAGATACTTTTAGATAATTTCAGAGAATTTGAATATTTTTTAATAACTTGTTATTTCAAATACTTTCAAATAGAGTTTTGAATTATATATGTACATATTTGGTTATGTTATATGTATTATAATTAATATTTTTTACAGTCAGATGTCACAAGTTCACGTTTCTGTTTTGTTTTGGTTGTTTTGGATATAGACACATAGAAATCGTTTAGGTATTTGAGAGTCTTGGTCAGGTTTGAATTTCGATTAGATTCCGTATATCTTCGGTTCTGGGTTTCTGACTGATGCCTAGTTTTAAGTTTTAACTAACAAGAACAAGAATAATATCTTATATATTAATTAAGAAACTATAACTTTAAGTTTGTATTAACTAAAAAATAATTATATTATATATGACGGTTCTTTATGTCTTCTAATTTAATTTAGAAGGATTCTAGAGTATATTATATAAAACTAGATATGAGTCTGTGCATTTTATATTATATTAAAACATCAAATAAAATCCGTCCAATGCACAGACTTTTCTTTTTTTGATCAAAAAAAAAAAGTCTGTGCATTGGACGGATTTTATTTGATGTTTTAATATTTATAAAGTATAAAAATAATAATTCATTTTATAGTTTTAAGAATTTTTTGTATATGTTATTTTAAAAATTAAGAGTTTGTTTTTCATAAAAGTTCCGATTAGTATTTATATTTTAATAAGCACGGATTTTATTTGATGTTTTAATTTTACAATGGAGATAAAATAATAAATTATGTTATATTTTAGGATTATTTTTATATATATTGTGTGAATTTATTTTAGAGTTTGGAATTTGTTTACTCACATAAATTTTGGTTAATATTTGTATTTTAATAATCATGGCACATAAGTATTTGTTTTTAACTTTGTAAAGCCAGAGAAAATACTCATACCTGAAAGTTTAAACAAAATCCAATTCGAATTAAGATTAGAGCGAAAAAGAATTGAAATTTAATAATTTAAAAATTAGACATAAGCATAATTTTATATAAAGATAACAAATTGGCACTGGCATTAACTTACCTACAACAACATAACTAATTTGAAATTCAAAAAAAAAAAGAAAACACCATAACTAATTTTATAGCGTCTATAAAACAAACACATATAAACATAATAGGCACATTAACTTACGTATAATATCAAAACATATATACTACATACAAACACTTAAGTATAACTATAGCAATAACTAATGTATGACACCATGAAAAATATAACAACAATAAAAATCATCACCAATTTAAGCATAAAAGAACATATAAAAATATTTTAAATAATTATTCTACAAATATTATTTGTTTAGGATTTAAAAAAACTACTATTAAACACTCTTTTATAATTTTCTTATGTTCAAGGTTTTAAAAAAGGATAATTAGTATCACTTTTTTTTTTCAATTACCATTTCTTCAGTATTTTAGAAAACGAAAATTAGTAGCAAATAAATTATTTTCAAATCTTTTTTAAGAAAAAATTGTAAGAGAAAATAGTTTAGAAAAATTGCTATTAAATAATTTTTAATATTACTTTTATTTGTAAAATTGCTTTCATTATCTTAGTATATATACTTTGTTAATCATGATTTATTTTAGGGAAAATTGTCAAATATGACTCAAAACTTGATTTGAAATGCAAAAGTAAACCCAAACTTGAATCAAATGCAAAAGTAACTTAAAAGACTGTTGAAATTACAACCAATCCCTTGTGAACAAACAAAAAAAGAGTTTTTTTTTACGTTTCTAGCCCTCGCAAGTCGTCTGCCCAGACGACTGTAAACTAAGTCGTCTGGGACAGTTTTTCTTAAAAATAATTTAAAAATTGTGTAATAAATATTTTGATAAATGAAAAATTGGAATTATGTAATTAACATATGTTTTAAGAGATATAAATTAATATATAACAAAAGTCAGTTGTTTTCAGCATAGATGAGTGAAAGTAGTGAGTCATGATATTCTTTAGTTTAGGTTTCACCAACATATGTTGTAGTATTGTATGTGTTTCTTAGGGTTGGATTTTTGAAAGCATAAATGTTTTTTTGAAAAATTAAAAATTTACCTAATTGTGTTTATTTCTGTGTATAGTAAACAATA